GTCTGACGCAGGTATACAGAGCCTTTTATGCTCAGAGATCTTAGAATAGGGTCCCTACTTTCTCTTTTCATCAATTTTTCAACGGTAATTTCAGTTTGGCTTCAGCGTTCAAAGCGAAAACATCGTAGCGTCCGTGTTTTTCGTTTTTCGTTATTTTCAAGTAATTTATCGGAAATTTGTGCGCATTATGCCTCGAAAGGGTACAAAAAATATTCCGAAAAGGTACGGGCGCAAAAGACCGCATTCGCAACCCCCTAATCGCTGGGAATTTGAAAAGAGCAAGTCGTTCACAAGCACGTCAGCGCAGAAAATTGTACAAAGTGGCAAATTGCGAAGTTATGAACTAAGCGTTGATTCAGTGTACTGCTTTTTGAACTTTGCATTAGTTTTCAACTTTTTATCCGATAACGTTTTGTGCAAAGAGTGCAACGGACGAATCGCTTTTTCCATGCGTGATCGGCGAGGCATCGGTTTCAAACTGAATTTGAAATGCGAGTGCGGGGAAAAAACTGTTGCTTCGTGTCCACTTATCGGTAAAGGTTATGAAGTAAATCGCCGAATCGTGTTCGTTTTCCGTTTATTAGGCCTCGGAATAAACGGCTTGAGCAGGTTTTGTGGCATGATGGACATTTGCAGCGGGATGTCGACGACAATATATTACGCTTGTGTGGAAAATATACAAATCGCGACGAAATCTGTTTACGACATGGTTCTGAAGAAGGCTGTAGCAGAGGAGAAGAAAGAAAACGTTTCTCGAGGACTACAGGAAGATCACTTCATCGTTTCAGGAGATGGCACGTGGAAAAAAAGGGGGTTTTCATCTCTCATTGGCGTGTCCAGTCTCATTGCATACCACACCAAAAAAGTTGTCGACGCCATAGTCAAATCGAAGTTTTGCCAAGCTTGCAGCTTTTGGGAGCAAAAAAAGGATGAAGATCCTACTGGTTACGATGTATGGCAGGAAACACACGTGGAAACTTGCACCGCAAACCACGACGGTTCCTCAGGAAAGATGGAAACCGACGGAATCACCGAAATGTTTGTCCGTTCGGTAGAACTGCACGGAGTCAAATACGTCACTTACGTCGGGGATGGTGACAGTAAAACGTTTAAGGGAGTGCTTGAAGCCAATCCGTATGATGACGTTACTGTCCAAAAAAAAGAATGTGTTGGTCACGTCGAAAAAAGAATGGGAACGAGATTAAGAAATATGAAAAAAGGAACCAAGGGACTCGGAGGAAAAGGGGCAGGCAAACTCACAGATAAAGCGATCGGAGAACTCACTAAATACTATGGCCTTGCTATCCGCCGAAATTCACATTCTGTGCAAGCCATGAAGGACGCGATATGGGCCACGTATTACCACAAGAGCTCCACGGATAAAAAACCCCAGCATGAGAAGTGCCCACCAGGAGAAAACAGCTGGTGTACGTGGCGTAAAGCTGAAGCGTCAGATACTTTGTCTTTATATAAGCACAAGGCTCCCCTTAGTGACACTGTTTTGAAGGCTATCGAGCCAATTTACAAAGACTTGTCGTCGGACGATTTGCTCCAAAGATGTTTGGGTGCTCATACTCAAAACAGTAATGAGTCACTTAATAATATGATCTGGTTGCGTGCGCCCAAACAATTTCATTCCGGCGCAGATATAGTCAATATTGCCACGGAATTAGGAGTGATTATCTTCAACGAAGGTGAGGAATCATTGTTAATTGTCATGGATGTCATGGGTGTCCGGATTGGCACATTCGCCGAGAGCTGGGTCCATTCACGGGACAAAACAAGGATCGAGCGCGCGGAGAGGCGGGTGACCGACGCCGCAAAAAAGGCCCGGATTGAGCAGCGGGAGATGTTAGCGGCTCAACATGAGCAGCTACAAGAAGAGGAGGGATGCCTCTATGGAG